ACTGTATTTTTCAACCAACACTTACTCGTACCATCAGTTGGAATAATAATACAACACTAACCAATTTATAAAAAGTTTGTTCTATGTCACCATATGACGACATATCTTATAATGTTTATTAAAAAATCATAATTAAAAGGTATGCGAAAGTTATTAAGTCAACAGTATGTGGGTATGGTAGAATATTATTTTGTTTCATTTTAGCCTTCGCGTCTCCTTAGTCAGACTTTGTTTAAAAAAGAAAGAACGCATTTATAAAATTAGACAAAAAACTAACATACCATTATTTGCAGACGCCATATTGAAATAATCTTCTTTTTTATATATAATATGTACTAAAAAAAAAAAAAAAAAACTAGCTGACCCGGCAAACGTAGTTTTGCCATATTAATTATTTGTAGGGTAGAAAAAAATGTAACATTAAGGCGGATGAAAAATAGATGTTGTTCGATCCTCCACCCTGGCCGATATGCACACAAAATTTCACGAAAATCAGTCGAGCCGTTTCGGAGGAGTTCAATTACAGACACCGTGACACGAGAATGTTATATATTAGATATAATACATGCTGTTCGTTAGTCTCGCTAACTCGAGAGCGGCCGGACCGGTTTGGCTAATTTTGGTTTTGAAATACTTGTGGCACTCCAGGGAAGGTTTAAAAAATGAGAAATTATGGAAAAATTGCTTCGAAAATTTAAATAGCAACAATTGTATTTGCCCATACAAACTGTTCCGACCTGTCAAACATTTTATGCGTGCGTTCGGAAAATTCTTTTTCTATGCGTTCAGATTCATAAATTGCCTAGAAATAATTCAAATGACAAAACAACGGTTTCCGCGTCAGCTACGATAAGGCAGTATACGATATATGTCTCTCACAACTGAAAGAAATCTAGTGACACCTTATACGTTTAAGTTCGTCAAAACGCCAAAGAATTAGACAATAACTTATATGCATACGCGCGAATACCCAAACATAACGTCTTACAGTATAACATGACCGCAGATATTTATTATATGCATCTATTCATTTTATTAGGCTTGATCCATTTTACCACACCATTTTTACGCCTTATGGTCTAATAAAAAAGTTATCGCTGTGGACGATAATGCACAATTTAAGGGCCCATACTACTCGGGCCTCTATTTGTTATTTCGCATATAATCGTAGTTTTACTGCCATTAAGTGAATACTTTAGTTCTTTAACATTAATTTGTGGATTTTCCGTACTATATATACCTAGGTAGTATTAATTTTATTTCAAGACAATAATATATTGAAATATAAGTTATAAGTAATAATTGTTTATGCGTGAAATTGTTTACAAAATATATAGTACATTGTTGTAAAGAGAAATAGCCAAAAATTTCGTAACACCAAACGTTGAAAATCAAACATCACAAAAACCTTTAACAAGCAGCTATGTCCATGCGTTCATTTGTGTAAGGTTTTGTTACCCAGGCATTGTTTTTACAAATGGAGATAACACGGTCACAGTCATATTCAACTAGATATATGGCTTTGTTTAAATAGCCCATTAATAAAACAAGATAAACGATCGACGCTTTTATAACCTTACACGTGGAGTGTCACAAATTCGATAACATTAATCTTTGTGCAAGACATGTAAATGAATACATTTATATTTCCATCAATACTTTAATAGGATGGTGTACAAAAGTTTAGTGCGAAAGCCGTCGACGATCTAAAAGGCAATCACATAAATATGAGTAATTTGTTCAAGATTTAACTTTACATTGACTTAAAATCGTTGCAAAGGTTTAATGTTTTGCAACGATTTGAGATTTTGCAGCAGTTTGATAATCAATTAATTGGATCAACGGGAGCAAAACTTTTTTTTACGGAATACAACTCACAACCCCTGAAAACTGTTCATTAAACTAAACTAGTAAACATAATAATTAAGAGTAATATGCCAGTATATAATATTTATACATACTGACTTATAAATACATACAACAGTTTAAAGAAACTAATTTAATATATGAGTGGGCAAATAGAATTATAATGTTGTTATGAAGCTGTTCTTAAAAAAAGGCTAATTAAATTTTAAATCTTAATTCATGTACTAAAAAGATATGGCCGCAGGACATTTTCATTAAATACAGTTTCATTTAATGGTACATTAATGGACCAAAATAAGTATAAATAAAAAATACCGGCCAAGTTCGAGTCGGACTTGCGCACGAAGGGTTCCGTACCGTTATCTATAAAAGGGCAAATCTTTACTGTTGTATGGGAGCCCCATATGCATATTATAGCTTGTGTTTTAAATATTTAACAACTCATCACTTATGAATGTCCCAAATAATATTTTATTTTGATGCAAAGTCAAATTTATAAAATTATCTTGAGTCCCATTATAGACATAACATGCCTGACGTAAGTTACAGTGGCATTAGATCCCGCTTTAGGTAATTCGAACACAAAGGAAATGGCCTTCAAGTGTCAAAATTTATAATGGAGGATATCACGTATCCACTATGATTGGCAGTGAATGCTTCGCTTAATAAACATTTTTGTAGTTGACTGCGTTTAGAGTATTTAACTGCTTAAAGTAATACATTCATAACATAATAATAATACGTTCATTTTCTTTTAAAATAAAGAAAAAATACTCTTTTGAATTGAAAAAAAAAAAAATAATGTCTTCATATATCAGATGAATTGAAACAAAATCTGTGATATTAAACAATTTTATAAGATGATAATATTTATGTTAAGATTTAAAAGCTGGTTCATCAGAATTTAAAACGTCCGTACCTAGTGGCGGGTGATAATAACGTTTTCGATTTTCCAATTTCTTAAGAAAAAAACCCTTGTGTCACATTACGATAATATTGTTAAGTTCCAGAATTTTGCCGGTAAAAAATGAATAGTTAAAATCTTTTAGGTATCACGGGAGAACATGTTACATAACGCTTATGGGAGTTTATTAAACATTACTTAGTAGTCGTTCTTCGTTTTCATCATTTTCATCTCATTTTTTACATGATTGCATAATTATCAGTGTTTAATAGTGTCGATTTTGGTCGTAGTTTTAAGCACATCAACAGAAGAATGGCAATCATGTTTTTAAAGTTGCTTTCATCGTGGATTTGCTGATAATCTTGGGTAACCTCCTTTTTAAGCTTATTTTTACTTTATATAGCTTACGCTTTCTAGTTTCACCGACTTTTTTATGGATACATGCAGGTAGCTAGCCTACTGCTGTATATGAAGCTTTATGCTGGAATACTAGACAATGGCTCATGAATGTAAGACATCCAATCATATACAATCTAGTGTTTATGTAGGTGACATTATAGATTGACCATTAGATCCAGCCGTGATAGATTACTTTAACATACTCGAGCAACCTGAGTTTGATGCTCGTTGCCGTCATCAATGAAATTAACAAAACATCGAAAACATCATAAGGAAACATGCATATTCTGAAATAATAACAAAAAATTCTAATCTCACCTTTCTAATCGCTCTAATCTTATATTAATAGTAATTTTTGTATGCAATTGTATGTCATGGTAGTAATAATATTACTAGAATTAAACGAACGTCACGTTAAAATGATAAAAAAAGAAAGAAACTACTTTTGTTGAAGTTGTGAACCAACTTTCTATCTCATAAAGCCGCTGATCATAAAACACTAAGAGGAATGTAGGATACTGTAATGGTATAAAACTTTATTTCATAAAACCGCTGACTTGCGTTTTGCTTATTCCTTTTACGAGGAACCGTTAAAACTAGTTTTATGACCAGCGTTATAGTTTGAAAACCACTTTCATCACATAATGCGACCACTAGAGAATTCAAATTTCTATGAAAAAGTTTTAAGACGTATAACGAGTATTTAAAAAGCAATAAGCTGTTGTTTTTTATTGTTTTGAATTTGAAAAAACTCTTAGCCAAAGCTGCCATCATGGACAGTCATGAAAAAGGTACAAGCAGGGTATATGTAATAAAAACATAAAAAGTTACTTTTTGGTATGCCAACGAGGGTAATGTTCAATGATTATACTAATGTAATATTAGAAAGAAACAAAGAAACATAGTAATACTTATTATACATACACAATATTTATATATTTATATATTCTTACTGTGGTAGGGCCAGGCAACAGTCTTCGCTGTTGCATGAATGGTCAGGTCCATCCGGGTAAGTACCATGACCACATAGAAAACCGACGTGAAGTGGAAGCGTTCTGCGTTTCGCCTCGCGGGTGGGGCCGAGACCCATTTTACTAAAAGGCGGCAACGCATCTGTAACTATACAGTTGTTGGAAATGTCCATGGGCGGCGGATATCACTTAACATCAGGTGTACCGCCAGTTGGTTTGCCACCTACCCACCCGCAAAATAAAAACATAGCAATAATCACAACACATAGTATTCACATTAATAACATTATTTGTATAAATTGAATTTATGAAAGATTTTAATCAAAGATTTGGATAAAATCTAGATTATTTTATTACAAAAGTACATTTACAACAATGTTATGAAATTTATTCATAAAGGTAACAAAAATAAGGGACGAAGAATAAATATAATGTTTTCTCCGTTACAACAACACATTTGATACTTATAAATAAGGTTGTGTGATGACAGACTGTCTTAAAAAAAGATTCAAGATTCTGTCTCCTCGGAAAGGTATCGGAAGGCCATTATTTTAAAATTTTACACCTTACCTGCACTTTGGGGTATTGGATTTCCATCTTAACAGCAAAAGTCCATCTTTAAGTTTTACCATTTATCCTATCTTTTTTCCGAAAACTTACTTATCACTTTTCTCAGAGGATTTTTCGGTTTTATGCTGTCATCGAATCGCTATCACTTGGAATGTTAAGTGTCTATTGATGTTACTTGGATCACTTGAAAAGTAGACCGTTCAGGATTTTATATTAAGGCGGTAACAGTTTAACAGGGTATATGTCTCAATGCTGGGTAATTATTTTGGAAATATGCAGGTTTCCTCACGATGTTTACTGTCACCGCTGAGCACGTGGTAAGTCACCACTTGAAATTAACATTTCAGGTGTTAGGTTAGTAGCACGACCTGACAGCTGGTAACTCCTCTGTACCGGCGGCGGTATTCACTTAACATCAAGTTTATGACTCCGTGGCGCAGTTTCCAGGGTATTGGCTTCGGCGTTGGGGGTCGTGGGTTCGATTCCCACACGTGACAACTGTTTGTGTGACCACACACACACAGATAGTTGTTTCGCATCTGGGTGTTTGTCCGCGTGAAATTTATGTTTATAAAACGTCTTTACAACACAAGATAATGTTATCCTAAAGTAAAGGCAATGTTTTAAAAAAAGAAAAAAAGTGAACCACCAGCTCGCTTGCCACCTGCTTACATTAAAAAAAAGATGACATTATCATACATTCTTTAGTGGCCAATAGTTTTTACCAAAAATATTTTTATGAAAACATAGTAGTGACAAACATAGGCTTTAACATGCTATTTGAATAATTAAATTTGATGAAGTACTGTAGATGTTATGAAGTACCGACAAAAACACCTTTGAGTAATACCAATATATAATATTTGTCATTTATATCGGTTCAGCTACCTCATGTTCTCTGGTTCATCCGTAATAGTTGACTGTCAAAAAATGCCTTGGGCATTAACTTCGCCTTTGTATAAAGATTTTTTTGTGTATAAAGTTTTAATTAAATAAAGAAATATAATTATGCATTTAATTGCTAAAATACTATCCATACTAAAGTAATTTAAAAATTGTAAATAACATAATTAGTATATATGTAAATACTTACACATATCTAAATAAATTTAAAGTTAAAGGAAAGCAGGAAAATTTTCAGAAAAATTAAGAGAAAAATAATATCTGACAACGTGAAAAGATTGAGTAAGTTTACTCTGGTTTATTGCAGTGTGAAATCCGAACGAAAAGGTCAATTTCTATCGTTTGCGCCACTCGAATAACTCAAATATAGGCTATTTGAAGATTTATGAGTACACACTCTTGGCTTTTTTCACTTTTTCATCCGAAGCGTATGAGCATTCGGGTCGGATTATGTTGACTCCATTCGGGATAGCAAAATATGAAGTAATTTATGATGTAAACCCATCAGAGTATAGACAATAGTAAGATAATTTTTTTCTTTTTTTAAGTAAGGTGACTGAGAAGTATTGTATTTTTAAATTGTAGATGTTATGATTATTTTGTTATAAAGGGCCGGCTTTCATATGTTGTGTAACATTTTATATAAATATTCCTACAAATATGCTGCCAAGTTAGCCTTAAAGAAAGTCTTACACATTGAAAATATTTACATAAAATTCTTAATAAATTGCTCTGGAAATATTTTGCTATATTGTGATATCTGAAATATGTGAGTTCATTTTTTTTAACAAAAACAAAACTGGCTTCAAATATGTCATTCTGTATGCTATTGAAATAATGGGACCCCTTCTTAAATATTTTTTTCCAGCAAAAAAGAATATTCGGTTAATAAATGATGGAGTACTGAGATAGAAAAAAAACATAGATAAAACTACAACCTAATTCAGAAACTCCTTTTAAGGTCGGCTGAAAATAGAGTGAGTTATTATTTGATGGGTTTGTTTGTTGCAGTTGCTGAATTTGTTGGTTGCAGCTTAGCAAGTTGTATATATAATGAGTAGTAGATAGTTTTTAATTAAAAGTAACGGCGACTATGACAACTTGAATGAAATAAATGATAATTTAATATCACTTACTTTTTTTTATAAATATTTTCGGACACATTTTTACACAACGTTTTCTAGTCCCAAACTAAGGAATGCTTGTTTTAAGGGTACTAGAAAACTGATTAACATACTTAAAATTACTTTTCTTCTGTAAATAAGTACATGTTATACATATATAAATGGCAATTAAAATTTTTTTTGTTCATCACACAATATTTTTCAGTAGTGGGAATCGAACCCACACCTTCTGGCGCAAGAGGCAGGTTCGCACTTCCCACGCCAATCGGGTCGTCATAGCAAACATTATATTCACTTGCCATTTAGATGGGACTTTACTACAATTTTTAGCGAAATATCAAAATTCAGTGCATATGACAGGGGGCTTAATTAATGGGTTGTTTTTAAAGTTTAAGTTGAAGGTGATAAAACACAATTTATGGCACAGAACTTTCATTCATTTGTGAGTTTGCGGTTAAACTGTTAAAGTACACACTATTTTTCCACCTTTAAAGCTTTTATGTTGAGTGCTTTTTTAATGTGCAACCGTGATACATATTTCATTTTCAAAAGCACATATAAAATTTTCTGCTTAAGAGGTGAAATGAAAATTGCATAGACATATCACTTAGGCAAGTATGCATCTTAATGTATCTGAATAACTAATGTATATACTTATACTCGTACATATGTAATAAGTTTCAGATTTTCTGGTGCTGACGGATGTTTCAAAACACTTTTCCTAACAGTTTTATACAGCGTGTCGTTACCATCGCGACAATAAATGAACACACGTCTAACGCTACTTGCCAATAATCATAAAAAGTATTAACGTTAAAAAAAATCCATAATTAAAAAAATATATTTTTCAAACAAACTAATTAAGTAAAAAAAGAAACAAAATTTGTAACATCCTATACAACTACAACTGACTGATTCATTCATACGTTCAGAGACTTTTCATTCGTTGCCACAGCGTCGCATTACAAGCCTCTCCTTCTAACAGTATGTTTTGTCTCTTTTAAATTCATTCAACCCATTCATATGCTTTGTGAAATGAACTTTACGTTCATTTGTAAAGGTCACAATAGTTACAGTATACAGTTTTATACGTAAGGGTGTTCTAAAATTCTTTGTTTTGGAAAATTTAATAACTCAGTAAATATTGATGTTTAAAGAAAGTAAATGTTTAATACAATTTTAAAAAGTTATCCTCTATATGTGTGTCCATTTATTGTCGCGATGGTAAAGACACGCAGTATACTTGTAATTATTAATTTTGGTAGTTCTAGAAAGTAAGTATAATGGTTGAGACTAATATATAAATATACATTCTTACATATACTGTATTCTTGTACCTACGTAGGATCTAACGTCGGGGGTCCTTTTTTTTCGTGGCGAAATCTGATATGGATACCTGTGCTTCCTGTGAGGGGATCCCCGGGTCATGTCGGACTCGAACCGACTAAAACCCCACACAGAGGTCGCAAGCTACTCATCCACGGGATCTCCTTTCGGAACACTATCTAAGCTATCTAAGCCATACGACTAAAGAGTCTGCTGAATTTGTTCGTGAAAATTGCCACAACGCTAACATTTATGAATACAAAACATGCTCTACAATGCAACCATCATTTAATCTGGTTGGAAACAAGTTGGTCCGAGTGACACATGCAATTATTTTCCAGCGGTGAGTTAAGCCGAGTTCGGAACAACTTTAAATTAGCAAATACCTGTTCAACATGTTTGTTTGCGAAATCGTTTCATGCAATTTAATTTAACTTATATAGCTTATTAAAAAAATAACATATTACGTTTAAAATGTTTAGGACTTTAAATGATAACACGAAAACGAAAACTGAAATGTTTTAGACGTAATTTATTGGGTTCACATTAATGAAATAGGAAGGGTGTAATTAGCTAAATTGTTCGCATTTTTTTATCGAGAGTGATAAAGTTTCGTTAAACTGTATGGTGAATTATAAAATGTAGTGAATATGTAATTTTATTTGAAGTCTTTTTTACTTTGTCACGTATGAACAAACATAACAAATAATCGAATTTGTTACATTTGTTTATCGGTAACTGTTGTGACATCGTTCATCAATATTGCGTATGTTGATATAATGATTAAACCGTTTTTATTTCATTAATAAGATACTTTGTATTCATGCATGATGCTTTTCATAAAGTTTACCTTGTTCGACGTTATTATGCAGCTTGGAAGAACAGACAAGATGCAAGAACTTTGTAGTAAGATAGGTAGTTCTTAATTTTGTTTCGGGAATCATAAAGAGGAAGTTTGGAACGAAGGAATTACTAATTCCTCGAACTGGAGCGAATAACAAAATTACCTGGTTTCTGTTTTACACTGGCACCTATTCACGTATGTTATATCTATACCATGATATTGTAATATATGACGGCTATGTATACATTTATAGTTATTTATTTTGAATTTATTTAATTTGAAAAACAATTCAATTACTAGTATATATACTCTGTAATATAAAGCGAGAGAGAGAGTTATGAACATTTTTCGAATTAAATAAATTCCCGGTCTGTAAATAAATTTCCGGTCACAGTTTTTTTCAAAATGTTTCTTATAAGCAATACCATTTATATCTTCTGATATTTTCAAAGTTAAGCGACGAACAAGTGTGGGGTGGAAATTCTTCCGGAAATAGCCAATTAATATCCACAGAATCTCCCTCTCACCCCTACAAAATACCGTTCGCTTTCTGATATATCTATGGATGTCTATGGCACCACTGGGAAGATTTAATATTTTTATAAAGTAATCTTAATTTTTGGACATGACTAAGTTACTTCAGCTACAGAAAACAATATATTTTATCATATTCAATATTAACAACAGCTATCTACATATAATACTGTTATAAAACAAATATCAAAAAGAGCTATATAACTATGACGAACACGTAATTGTAACAATGTATTTTATAAATCTCTTATTCAATAATAAATTAAACTAGACACTTTATTAAGCTGATGCAAAATTAAGCAACATAACGTTTATATTCATTCATAATGAATTCATTTACTTAACCAATAAAACAATAATCCAAACAGTTTCCAGATAATCCAGAAAGTGACAGGCGGCCCATACCCGTACATTTGCGGCATATCCATTTTACAGACTATTAAGAGTTTGAGTAAAGATAGCGTTAAGCGTCTTACATTGCTGCCATTTTGGTTATATTCGCAAGACGTGTTAGTTTTAAAGCAGCAATGTAAGCAAAATAGCATTCACTCAAGAGAGAGCATTGATTGTAAAGTGATACATGGTAGGTTCGCCTGGGATACAGACCCGCATCCACTAAGCTGCGGCAGTCGCCTACGGAGCGTAGCAACGAAAGCTACGCGCGCGCTACGGCGTCGACCGTTGGAGCTTTCACGTGCAGTACGGGCTCTAAACTGAAGTGAATATTATAATATTATAAAAGAAATAATTTATTTTCACGTGTATTTATAAAGAATATTTTCTTGTGTTACTAAACTTTAATACATTAATATAATATGTTTCATATCTCTAAGCGAGAGTTTTAATAAAGATTCTTATTAATAAAAATATTTCCGATGCTTATTTATTTGATTGCGATAATAAGTACCTACGTTAAAGCGGTCTGCGGGAACAAATTGTTTCAGTAACACAATAAAACGATAACAACCGACGAGGGGGAGGGGTCAGAACGAACTCCCACAACGGAGGACCTGTTTATATTTAATCCAGCAATATGTTTGAATAGGGCAGTGTGATTAAATGTCTTTAGTGCTCATATATCTATAGCAATGAAATAGATGTTACATTATTTCAATGTTAAATATGAATTATGAATTTATTTATCTCATTGTATGTTGATCGTTAGTTTTAATTAAAACCATGTTTTAATTATAGTTAAAGCTCAAATATTTCAGACAATTTTGAAATAATACTCATGAGGTCTTTATGTTCATTAGAAATGAACAAAATATAATGAACATAAATGAATAACCATAAAGTGATCGATATTTAATCAATTTATTATTTTAACAATTGAGAATAATTTACTTGTAAACCTGCAATGTACTTCTTACTCCTCAGGATGTGGACATTAATTTGGTGTACGAGTCTTTTAGCCATTTTGATGGCTGATATAAGAACTGGCGCTATACACAATAATGGTGAGGATGTGTCAACTTAATTAGTTTTAATCTCGTTAAGCTTGGTCTCTACGTTTTCCGTTAAAAAACATTTAAGCTTTTCTGGGACATTTAGTTCATGCAGCGAATTTAGTATTCAATATAGTTAAGTGCAAGCCAATTGTAATTTAGTTCGCCATTTAAATAAAAACATGTTCGATATTTATAAAAAGGACAATAAACTACTAATATTTATTATAAACTAATATATGATATGTTAATACCAATAATGTGTAGATTACTAATACGAAATTAAATAAACTAACATTTATTTAGAAAATATTTAAGGTTTGTAATTGGAATGTTTATTGCTTAAAACTTAGGTTTATTAAGTCAGTTGCATGTTTCATGTTCATTGTGATTAAAAATACTTTTAATACACTTATATTCTGTATTTTTGTATCAAAGGAGTAACAGTTTTTCAATTGCCATTATTCCAAATAATCTTTTTGTTATTGTGAGAAAGTGGCAAACGAGTTTGCGCTTCACCTGATATTTAAATTGTTTATAGTGCTAATCTTTGCACTTAAGATTGAACATTAAAATATGTAGAAAAAAGCTTAAGCTTCACCTGATGTTAAGTGATAACCGCCACTCATGAACAGTTGCAACATCCGTAGGGTTGCAAATCCGTTACCATCTTTTTATAAACTGGGTCGGTCTTCTGTGAGGTCGTGGTACTTACCCAGACGGACCAGCCCATTCGTGCCACAGTGAAATCTGTTGCGTGACCCTACCACAGCCAAATCAACTTTCATTTTTTTGAATACTTATCCTTCTACTGGCAACCTGATTGGCGTGGGGAGTAACGAAGCTGCCTCTTGCGCCAGAGGGTGTGTCGATCTTCAATACTGGAAAAATATTGTGTTGAACATAGTCATTCTATTCAGGTAGACCTGAGGTAGAAATATAAAAACTAGAAAGGGAATGTAGAAAGACAGCCGCGGTGGCGTAATTTCAGTCTGTATTTCATTTTTAAGAAGAATTAAATCATCTTCCACTGGAAAATATAAAATAGAAGAAACCTGTTTCATATGTATAAATGAACAATGTAACAATGAAAACAGTAATACTAATATGTATTTAAAAATATTCGTTTTTATCATGAAAGACTTTCGTTTTTAACTACATTTTGATAACTCATACATATTTTATAAATTACTTATATCAACACATTTTTTTGTTGCTTTATGTGTAAAAATAAATAAAAGCATATTGAAATAAAGAAAAAAATATGCTTCAGAATTTATGCAGCTTTATATTATCATGCCAACTTTTATCAATAAGCTGGTACTTTATGGAATCGAAATAACACAAGAGATGAATTATTAAGATTTATTCACTTTGCAACAATAGCCGACATTGTGGACGTTACAGATTAATAATATGTTCTCATTCATTCCGACAGAAGTTGAACCGCAACGATGTTACTATTGCCCTAATAATATCACGACGTGCTATCAACAAAAAGTCTCTATTCTATGTACCGCTGAAGAACCTTACTGCGGTACTGTAGCCGTTGGTCCCGGTAAGCGATTTAGTTTTTAATTTTCGGAAAGGTAACTAGAACTTTATAGGTTTATTCTAATTTCGTTTTAATTTTTGTAAACTTAATAACTTGTCGTTAACTTTCCAAGTTAGGTTTCTCATCTTTCTCCGAAAAACGTGTTTAATCCATTTCGATTTTAATATATTTTGTCTAGTTTTAGGTTATATTTGATAAATGTGCACATTTATTCTTTTTATATCTTTACTGGCCACTTATGTTTCTTAAACACTTTCAAAAATTTTGAATTTATTAACAATGGTTTTTTCAATTTACAGGTTACATTTCGAGGTTGAAATGCTTGCCTTCATCAAAAAATCCTTGTTTAATATACTTCACATCAATATCGACACTTGAATTATCATGTGTATGCTCCGGAAGTAATTGCAATGCACCGTTTACAAAAAGGCTCCAAAATCAACTGCTGAAATTTGCGAATACAAATCCTTCACATAATAGTAGCGATGTGATGAATGACTTCCTTCAATATTTGAATATAGAGAACACAACAGATTATTACACATTATTTACAAATTATTTTACGAACGAAACGGAGGAAATTGAAGCTGGAAACTCAACGGCTACTTATTCGACGTTATCAAGCATTATTGAACTATCGGATATTCCACTAATAAGCCATAATCATTCAAGCAATATTGACGCACCGCACGCTGAACCCTTAAAGCATGAAGCAACAGTACCGCCAGATGATGATGAGGATGAAAGTGAAGGCAGTGGAGTGTATGATGATCCCAAATCTCCAAAAAACCCCGCCTCAGCACCAGCTGCCCCTAGTTCATATTTACCAGCGGAGGAAAATAAAGCTTCGTCACGGTTCCAAACGTCTTTAGCTTTGTTTATCTTAATTATGTACGCCACACTCTAGACATATACGATAAACAATAGAGGATAAAACATTTTCTCAAGAATACGAAGGTATATTAGTGTTCTAACGATCTTTACTACCTATTAGTAGTAGAATCTTATAGAGTAAGTATGGGATCAAATAAATGCATTTCCTTCAACAATGAAGTTTTAAGGATACAGTTTAAAACCTTCCTTAGTCGTTATAGTTAACAGTTAATAGTGAATTTCTTATAAAAACACCCTAAGATTAATTAGTAATAATTGAATTAAACAACTTCTAAAAATTATAAAAAGAAAATATCGCAAAGCACGATTTACCATGTTTCCACAATGCATCTATCTATCACATCTATCTATCCTGAAAAAATTTCAGGCCATACTTTTCATATAACACTTAAAGAAATATAATTAATGTGTTAACCTTGTATAATACAGTATAGTACATAACGATATTAAAAAATCTAGATTTAAGTATAATATTTTTAATTAACTACAATCTAAAACTGTAATTTGCTTAATTACTACTTTAAAGTATGTAGACATTACTCATTTGGATGTCATGCTCATAACAGCAAAATAATTTTTATTATAGTATCATTAAAATGATATAAATGTTGAATTACTGTAAACACAATGATTTTTATGTGGTGTTCCAAATGTATAGGTATACAAAGATTAACTCGAAAAAATTCTAGATATAGTGCTATTTCAAATTTTAATTTAATATGTTGTTATAGGTATTCTTTTCTTATACTTTCGTAATCTAGTTTCTAATTAATAAAATAAATGAAACAAAGAAAAAAAATGTTTTTTTTAAAGGCCTATTATACATACACATATATATATATTAAATGTAAGCTACATATATTTTTGTACAAGTTTTTTTTAACCAAAAGGCTATCAAATTTAATTATTTTAATAGATAGCTAAGTCACTGGTCCCGTTTTAAATAACATATTAGTTAATGAAGTATTTTGATCTTTTAATAATAAATTTTAAAGTAAATGTTGACTGGCGTTACATACATACTTACAATATTGTTATTTATCTTGTAACTGGAACCATTACGAGAACTGTATTATAAATTGATAATATCTTTAACTTATAAAGATATAATACAAATTTATTTACAAGTAAGATTATTTACAATATTTACAAATACTTACAAAATAACACTTTATTTAACAAACCTAGAAGCATTGTGTTTTGATATAACATCTTTGAGTGAATTCTCTAGGGCTGCGGTAGGGTCCACACAGCAAGATCTGCTGTTACATGAATTGGTGGTTTTGGATGCTAAGTACCATGGTAATACTACCATAGTAGTAATGGTAAGTAATCAGAGAAGAGTTGCGTGAAATAGACGTATACTACTATTTGGTGTTTTTTCTGATGTGTGACGTAACTAGTGCTGACTTTTTTTAAGGTTGGCAACGCATTTGTAACTCCACAGGTATTTTTGACGCTTTATGGGAAGTGGCAATCTCTTAACAAAAGGTAACCCAATTGATTGAAAACTTCTCACATAAAAAATTGTTTGGGTATTTAAAGCTTAGGATTTTTTAGTTAATTTAAACATAAAGTTTTAATATCAATCAAATATTGTATATTGTTTTATTTCTTTTTTTAAATATTTTAGGACACATTTTTTACACAACGTTCTCTTGTCCCAAACTTAGCAACGCTTGTGCTATGGATACTAGAAAACTGATAGATATACTTAAACATACTTTTCTTTTGTAAATAAATACACATTATACATATATAAACACCCAGACACTAGTAAATCACTATGCTCATCACACAATATTTTTCCAGTTGTGGGGATCGAACCCACACCCTCTGGCGCAGAAGGCATGTACACTACCGACTACGCCATTCGAGTCGTCAAATCGTATTTGTAATTGCATTATTTTCATCACTTACATTATACTTACCTTTATCTGGAAATATATGTCTTCAGCTTAAAATTTGATTTAATAAACGATTTGCAATTATCAGCCTGTGTAAACGAAGCTTTTGTAACCCTGTTTTTTATTGTGCCTTTTATTACCAGAAAGGAGCTTACGCAAATAGCATCCCTAAAATTCCTCTTCTTTATTACCTGCCAGTATTTTATTTTATTGCAGGTTACATTTTATTCAGGGTTCCTCCTTTTTAACGAGCAGATGTAATAAAAGCTTTAGAAGAAACTCATTCCAACAAGGAGATAAAAAGATTTTTCCCCAACCTCATTACCAATTGTTTGTTTCTAGAAATGCTACTGAAGAACAGTTTCAAATGTGGAGATGAAGAAGGCATAACAAAGCCTTTTTGCATTATTCTTTGCATGGATTTTATAATGAAACGAATAATTCTTAGTCCCCCATTTTGATAGGCATTATATTTTTCTGTACGATAGTGGAATCGTGACGATGTTTCTTAGTTATTTTTTTAACTTCCTCTAAGCACAGTTTGGTAAAATCATTAAAATACCATAATGATAACTTGTTAAATAAAACTAATTTACGGTCAAGAATCACATTGGAACTTGGAAAAAATACGTGAAATAATCGGTAGGCGTGTTATTTAACAATATTTAGATAACGTTAAAATACACATGGCTCAACGCCATGTGTGTTTTAACGTCCTTTAATTTTCTCGTAATTTAAAAAGTCTTAAGAACTAAAAGATTTACTATTTTTATAGTTCATTGAAACGAGTATTAAGGCACGTTTAATTACCTTGGGCAAATAAGATGTCATTAAAAGCTGGACAACAAAAGGCATTAGAAGGGATAGTTAATGAAAGTTTGATAGAGTATTAGAGTAAGAAGATAGTGTTCGTTTACTTGTACTCAAACTTATCTACTCTAACAAACGTTCTAAAATAATTAACTTAAAATCTTAATAACAAAATTTTCCTGCAGAGTTACGTTACAAATAATATTTGTCCTTGTCTGTAGATGCTTCACAAGTTTTTGAAGTGTCAGAAGCTCGAAACAAAAGCGCTTTGAGAACGTCCGACTATAGTGTCACTTGTATGGTTAAAGAGTAACTTGACACAATTACAAAATTTGCAATTTAAGGAACACTGTCCTCGCCAAGTTTCCTTTGATGAATGATGAATTTGTTTATGAACTTTACGAATCACTTTACACTAATTTTTTCTATAGTTAATTGCTTTCAAAGAATCAATTTTTAATTGGATTTTCGTTCTAATCTTGTTTTACACATATAGCATTGGCGAGTTATTAGAACAACTTTGTTGAAGTTGAAATGAAGTGAATGAAGAATGAGAACTTTTTATGGAGTTACTAGCTTACCCGGCAAACGTTGTTTTGCCATATAAACGATTTGTAGGGTAGAAAAAATGTTTGGGGTGGACCGCCCTTAACATTTAGGGTTATGAAAAATAGATGTTGTCCGATTCTTCCCTGGCTGGAGGAGTTCAATTATAAACACCGTGACACGAGAATTTTATATATTAGATTATAATTACTCGTATTTACTTTGTTCAATCGCTTAAAAAGTGCAACCTTTGGTTGCGAAGGAAACGATAGTGTTATTCGCACTTTATACTTTAATCCCGGACAAGTGCGAGTCGGACACGCACACGTAAGGTTCCGTACCATTATCTTTACTCACGGCAAAAAAAAAAACATGTCTGTTGTATGGGAGCGCCACATAAATATGTTTTATTACATTTTTAGTATTTCTTGTTATAGCGGCAATAGAAATACATAATTTTTGAAATTTTCTACTGTGTAACTATTATTAGGCAGACAGAAAGACAGCGGAGTCTTAGTAATAGGATCCCGTTTCAAGCTTTGGGTATGGAACCCTTAAAATTCAGGAACATAGCGTGTGGTGAGCCCGTCCTCGTACACTGTACGGCAAATATCTTAAATTATTAAGTAATAACTGCAAGGAATTAGCAACTTATTGGTTAGATTAGGTTTACTAAAGTTTGAAGGATCAATTATCTTTGTTGTTTTATAAATAAAAATAAGAACTGTTAAATTCATTCGTATATTAAATTGCTGGAAAAATTATAAACGATAAAATGGGCGTAAACAACGGTTGACTTCGCAAGACGAAGCTTAACTTCACTAATCCATTGGATCAGCACTGCGCCACGGCTTGAAGTGTAATTTCTTAGGAAAATAATGTTTCTACAACTTGTAAAAAACTTTGCTTCGCCGCTCACCCTTCGACCAAAAGAAAATTGAATAAAGCTTGGATATTACGAGTTCTCTAGGAAAATTATTAAGAAAAATTTTTAGTATCCAATATTTACTGTTATCCGTTGTTTTGCAGTTATTTTGAAAAATTGTTAATGGAAATGTTCAATGTTCTTATCTTTTTGATTTCTGTGAATAATGCGAATACGATAAGAAGTTAATAAAACGATTCTAATTCAGAGGTAACAAAAATAATGAAAAAAATTATTGCAATATAAAATTAAAACGGGATGTATTTAATACGTAGTGTAGGGAAAGTTAACATATTCTACAGTAATTTTTTAATCTCTGGAGACCAAAATTCACAAGACACACCACAGTTAAGTGGAATTAATATACTAATTTTGCTTTTCATCTGTAGTTCGATCTCTGGTGCCGGCACCAATCATATTGTTAATTTAAAGTGCTGACTTATCACGTGCTCATCGGTGAAGGAAAACATCGTGAGAAAACCTGCATATTTTCGAAATAATAACAAAAAAATATATTTTTCGAAGATATGTGAAGTCCGCCTATCTGCAGTGGGGTCGCGTGGAGGACTATGCTCTGATACCCTCTGTACAGAAGAGACCTTTGCCCAGCAGTGGGACATTTATAGGCTGGTATTTTCCTTTTTTTACTTTAAATCTGTTGAGTAAGTCAACCGGGGGCGTTTAAAGATTAGCAACACATCTGCAACTGTACAGTTGTTCTGAATTTCATGAGCCGCAAAAATACCATAATATCGAGTGAACCGCCTATTAAAAAAATCTATTCCAAATGAAGTATGTCAGAATTAAAATTCATATAACTAT